AAATATTTTAAATAAATTTTTTACAATAAATGCTTTTTCTCAGTATTTTTTGGGCGGAAACTAAGTTAAGGTCCTAATAGTTAAGAAATTAAAGTATTCTTGAATTAACGCGATTTTACTTAGAAAAACCTTCATCAAGTGATGTTATCTTCGTTACCAAACGTTGGTAGGAAACGAAAATTTCATATTTCGCTTAGTCTTAAAAATAATAGCATGTAAAACCATTTATTTTATATCCTAAATAATAATTTCGTATAATCCAATAATTTCGATCATTAATTCCGTATGGCTCGTGACTATTAAACATTTTGTTGCGTTTTTTACTAGAATATTTTCTTCGTGTAAACGGAGGTGAAATAAATTCCAGGCGGATTAAAATATGCTATTTACTAAATATTTCTTTTTAAATGGCAATGGAATTTATCCAATGATACAAACTCATGTCTTTCTCCTCTTCATCGTCGTCGTCACCATGATCAGGATGAGGTTCGGGATTTTTCTTATTGATGATCTCTACGTCATCCAGGATATCCTCCGTCGAAATGGAAGAAGGGACGACATTTTGTTGAGTGTTAACAAGTTGGCCAACATGTTCCTTGCCAAAGTGTAACAACGGTTGATTGTAAAGGGACTCGTAACTACCTTGCACTTTAGGAACAACATTTGGAACAGAATAAACCTCAATGCTGGCTCCTTTGTACTGCGGAAATTGTGGACTGGCCGTCTGGATCGGCACAACATGACCTTGAAAGCTCGACAGAGGTGACGAAAACGGTGAAACGTTTTGCGATTGAAATACTATGTTGGCTTTTGGCACGTCTCCAAAATTAAATTCAAACTCCGATTCGGTCGGGTAGTTTGCGTTTAAAAGAAGTGGCTGACTTTCGAATACGGGGAAAGCACTGGAAAACCCGGGATCGCTCTGAAGTTGTATGATCGGAACCGAGACTTTCTTACCGTTCACATCCACGGTAGCTTCGTCATTCTGCTTGGAGGCCAACATCGCTTTGTTCGGCGATTCAAATAGCGAAGTAGCACTTGACATCGTTGGGAAGCTCGGCGCGTAAATAGGCGCGTATTCGACAGCTTTTGGCAAAGGGCTGCTTTTATAAACTGGTGTCTGCATGGTAGGAGACGAAATGCCGTTCTGGAAGTCCTGAGAGATAATTTTACTGATACTAGAATACGAGGGATACTCCAAGTTGGCGAAACTAGACAATTCAATCGGTTTGTTTGAGCGAAACGCATTGTAGCTGGGAAAATATGCTTGCTGCACTTTTTGTAGCGACTGCGACACGATCGATTTAGACGTATCTGGCGGCTGGTCGGCGCTCGTCGCAACCTTATACGTACTCGGATTATTCAATAGGTTGAAGTATGGAGCGAGCGGGCTATTCTGACGAGATTCGGTCTGCTGAATAGGAGAGGAAGCGTAAGAAAACTGCCACTTTGGCACGCTGCCATACGCGTGAGAACCAGATCTCTGATTCGGGTTAGCGTGGGAAACCCTCTGAGTGTCTGATACTTTAGCTTTTCTATAATGAAGCGATGATTTCGAGTTAATATCCTGAGGCGATGAGATCTTCGGCGTACTTTGGACTCCTCGGAATTGCTCCTGGTTATTACGGATATCTGTCTCAGGATCTGTCACGATTCCGCGTTTCAATTTGCTGGACATTACCGGTGAAACGGAAGCGTCGGTCGAAATTATGATGTTTGTGGCAGAACATATCGTGGATATGAGGAGAATGGTGTTTACAACCTGGAAAATGTATCACGCGCGTTAGAAAGTATGTGATTTTCGAAGTAATTAAAAGAGGAACAGGAATATTAATTAAGGATCATCAAGCAAGACATGTAGCAATTACATGAAATTCAGATTGATGTGCGCAAATAATAAGGTATGAACAAACGATGTAAAAGGCGTGTTAAAACATATTTCAAAGCTTTCAAAGTAAACATACATCGGCCATACTATTAGTCACTATATTAATACTATATATCAATATCACAGCACACAATTTGGCGTATTAAAAGAATTGTAAGTTGACGCGAGTTACATATTCTCGTGTGAGTAATCACTGTTATAATATTACAGATACTTCACATAGACGTTCGTGCGTTATATGCTAAGTGAGACACGTCGCGCAATTACTTAAAGTTATTGAGAAACTGGAGAAACGTACCAACATGGTAAAGTCGGTACGAGCAGACACCAAAGTTTAACGTTAACTGACTGGGACTGACATTCTCTCATCTTTTATATTCGGCGATTACTGATGCGAGACTGCAGAACGGTCTTTTCTAAACTCGCAAAAAGCGTATCGAGAAAAACCGAGTCAAATCACCTCACTTCTTCCCGATCAGTGAAGCCGTCACAGTACACAATTGATCTATCTTTTTATTATTAATTTATGTATGTCTTGTTTTCTGTGCAACCTAAATATCATCTTTATTATCGTAGTTATCGCGTATTATCGTACTACGTTAATCATTCCTTATATTCCTATTATATATATTCCTATTCCTATTATATATATTTGTTATAAACGCAAAGTTAAATGCCTGTTAACTCTGCGACTCTCGCGTGATTTTTGACTAATAAAGATGAAACTAATTTGCTGCATATATAATTGAAATATTATATTCATATGTTGTAAAACGTTTATTAAATAAATTGGAAAGAGAGAGATGGAATGAACATTGTGCCTTTCGCAATAAAAACAGTGCTGTTCAAGCTGCAGTATAATTATTCATATTTTCGTAGATTATTGAGTACTCTTTTGCAAGTAATAATTAGCGCACCGTTTGCCGCAAGAATGATTGTTTTCTTCACGGCATTACTGGCTGCTATTCCAAGAAAACTTGCGCGACCATATCCATCGTAATGGTTTTGCGAATCAGTGTGAGGCTTTCAAACTAATTTCTATCTAATTTTCAGGTTATCTTCCGAGAAAGTGAACGTTGCACAATAAAAATGCTTCAATGGGTTTAAGTGCATAGGCTGCACTAAGTTTAGAAATGAATGATCGTTACATACCTCATGAGGTGAACGTCTCTTCCTCCTTGGTCACGGATGAATTATGGTCGCAGTCAAACGGAAACAACAGTTATATTTGCATCAGTTCGATCTTTGTGACAAAAACCAGTCACAGTTTTTTCAATAATTAATTGTGTTAAAATAAAATAATCTGATTGTAAAAGTTATATTAAGATTTCACCAACATGTAAAAAGCAAATATTTCTCAGCGTGAATATAAAAATATAGATAGGCGAACGAGTTATTGCGATTTTTATCTTATTGTGAAATTAAATAAAAATATTCCGAGTCAAGAACGAAGAAAAAATACAGTTTTGGAAATAGGAGCTTTTCCTTGATAATGTGTCCAATGTTTTTATTAGCTTAACTTTATGATGAAGATTGAAATCCTTATCCGATTTTGTTACGACAAGACTTGAAAGCAGTGCTATGAATGTTAATGAATCTAAAATACCTCGAGAATACTGATGTGGAAATCTCATGTTGATTTTGTTCTTATTGAAAGGAAAACGATAGTGAAAAAAGTGCTTCGCAGAGTTATCGAAAATATATAAATTTTTTATTTTCTTTTTCGTACTTAAATCTGCTTTTATATAGGATCTTTAGATATAAAAGATATTTAGTATAATGTAATCCATTCTGCGCGCATTACATAAAAGATATTTACTATATATTTAGGTAAAACAAAAGTGCATATAGATTTATGCAAATGTGTTTTGTAATTGGAATAAAATCTCACTAATATCCCACGTGTCTCTTCCTTCAAATTATCTCCACCGTTTTTTCGCAGAGAAAGACTTTCTTGTTATAAATTCTGTTTATTGCGTCTTTGGACATATAGGTGAGAGAGAACATCGACGGAAAGAGAAAACAAACGGGCGCAACAAACGCCGTACAAATAACAAGACGATATATTTTCATTTAAGTTAATATGTACAATGCTAGCGTCTTATAAATGATTAATGAGTCGTTCCTTCTCCCTCAGTCGAGCGTTCCATACAAGCGCACTCGACACTAACGATTACTTTTACAACTTCCGTATAAAATGTTACTTACTAATAATTCAATATTTAACATTTCTCAGTGCGAGAGCGGCGCGAACGATGCTGGCGCGATGCAGCTTTCATTGATGCGAAAAGCGGGCGAGAAGAAATCGCCCGTTACCGGACGAAGGTAAACGCGTTTACCACCTAATTCTAGTCCCTCCGCGTGCGGATTTACGGGTCACTCGCAGACCCAACGAGCACATCGCGTGATCGACGTTTTGCTTGTACTTTAGATTTCGAATTTACGCAGCGCCGTTCCCCGAATAGACTTTCCTATTGGCGATTATGTCGGATTGCGACGCACCTTCGAACTTATTCCAGATATAATCCTTCAGAGCGTCGTCGTAAAACTGCTGCTGCAGTTGGCGCCTGTCAGTGTCAAAGAACTGCCTCAGCTGATCCTTGTCGCGATAGTTCTGCGTGCTCCTATTTGGCAGTTGCTTGTTCTTCATCAATAATCCGAGCAGATTGTGCATTCTGGGATGATTGATGTCGTAATTCTTGTTGTTTGTTCTGAGCTCTCTTAGTATATTGTTGAAGATATCCGGCGACGACGTGGTGAATGTCGGGTAGGTATTGTAGGACGACTGATGCTTGCTCTCGAAGTCCATGTTGTCAATATCAAAAGCTGGTATATGATAATGTGTTCCATCCAGATGCACGTTTATATTACTGGCAGACGTTTCCAACCCGTTTGGTCTGGACGACGAGTGTCCCCTTCCAGGTTTCCTCAAGGTCACCTTCCCGTTCTTGAACCTCGCTGCTCCTGGTCGTTTGTTCTTTATGGGTTTCTCGTGGAAGACGCCTTTCGTGCGGAGATGACTCGGTCTTGGTGGCGTGAGGAATTCTCTCAGGTGACTATCGTCGTAGAACTCGTCGCGGAAATCGAAACTCGAATCTCCCGAGGGTTTCGGTATGCGACTCGGCCTACTGGTGCCATGATAGATATGTATCGGCCCGGTAGGTCGAGTCTGTAGCAGATGCTCCAAGGTCGCCAGCAACGCTTCCGGTTTCTTCTTACTGCTCGAGGACTTAGGCACGTCAGTCGTGCGAACTTTATTTTCGCTCTGATGCGCTTCGAGCTGGTCTTTGTACTTCGACTCCGACAGAGAAGCCGTCAGCTTTTGCACTTCGAGCCTCAGTTTCGCCAAGTCACTCGCCTCAGAGTTATTTTGATTAACTCCAGGCAGCCTTTTGTCGTTGTTCCATTTTTGTGAGTTGTACATCGTCTTCAACGACTCCTTAAACATCTCCTCAGCATAATTCTGCAGGTCCGAGGCTAGCTTCGGTTTCAAAATTAGCTCGTTTTGCGCCGTAAACGACGGCTTGAAGAAGTTCCCTCCAGGCATGACAGGTACCAGATTCAGACCCTGTCGGACAGGTTCATTGGGTGGCGATTTATTGTTGAGAGCGTGCTGATTTTTTATGATATCGACATTGGGAACGAAGTTGATGGGATTATACATCGGTCGTTCCTGATTCTGCGCCGTTTTAAGGTCCACCGTGCCAAAATGCTTAGCTTTGGTGCCGGTTTCCGTCAAGGAGTCCACGTAATTCTGAAGATTGATGGTTTGCGGAGTGATCGGGCCAATCGTACTGAAGATCGGAATAGGCGTTGTCAAGACAGTCGCCGGATAATGCAATGTATCAAACGTGTTCACGGTCGTGTCAATCGGGCTCGGCTTGATGTTAGGATTCACAATCTCAACATTCTTAGTGCCCACGTTCGGCAGATGCGCGTTCACGCTGTTCGAGTGGCCGACCACGTTGTCGGCGGTTTGTAAAGTAACGCTCGGTCTGTTGTTCTTCAACAGTTGCGCTCTGTTTAACTGCATCTGCAACTGTTGTACAGCATCTTCAGCGCCGTTGCCTTGCAACTTGACGTATTGTTGAATGTTCGTAGCTATGCCGCTTAGAGTTGGATTGGGCTGCAGTATAGTCGGCACTACCTGATTCGCTTGAAAGTACGTCTTCGTTTTCGGCGTCATATCGATGTGTTTCACCACTTGGTAGCCTTCCTCTTGAGGTTTGGTAACTTGCTGAGTATTATGCAAATAATACGAGTTGATGTTGGTCGCCTTTTGTTCGTTTTGGCCGACAGCCAGGCTCGCGGTAGCCAGAAGGTTCCCGCCGGAAGCAGTGTACGTGTTTTTCTTGCTCTGTGACTCCACGGGCAACATGTTGATTCTGGTTTCCGGTATCGCCTGGCTAGATAGCAACGTGGGTGTCGGCAGAGTTTGCATCTGCAAGTTGCCGTGGTTCATCAAATTCTGACCTTGCAATCCGTGAGGGTTTACTTGGATCTGGTACCCCGTGTTGGCTTGAACCGGCGTCTGTATGAAACTCGGGAACGTCTGGACGGTCGGTTGCGGTACTAACAGTTGCTGTACACCGGTATGCACTTGATTAATCGGTACATGCTGGACAACTGTGGTGGGAGTCGGTGTTACAGCGAAAGCAGTTCGCGGTGTCACATTACTCTGGACGTTTTGAAGTGGTATACTCTGCAGTGTCGGGGTCAGGCTAGACGTGAGGGTAAAAACTGGTGCTATAGTGCTCGGCAGATAGGACGTTCTCACCGTGTCCGCGACCTTGTTCTGTCCACTCGACTGAGAAAGCACGACAGTGTGCATGGGATTTTGGAAGGAGCTCTGTCCGACAATGATGTCGGGTACAGACGTGGACACACCTAGGTTCGCTGTGTTCACCAAATTCTTCGATATCGCCAGATTTTGACCGAGGATTGACGGCGGTGTGCTCAAAAGAGGAGTGCTCGTGGTGTACGTGCCGATTGGCGAAGCGGTCACCATATTCTGTAGGAGCGCGTTGGAGATATCGAAGCCTTGGCTGTTACCCAGCGCGGTTGCATGGTCAAAATTCGTCACAGGCACGAAGTTAACTTTAAGAGGAAAGACATATTTCGGCTTCTCCATTTGATCGAGCTCGATTCCGTTGGAATGAGAAATCTCGAGACTCGGCGATATCTGACTCCACGTGTTGATGTTCTTCGGCCTGGAACCATGTTGCACCTTGGTGTTCTTAATTTCTGTGTCACTGACTCTGATATCGTGCCTGACGTCTTCGACGCTCTCCTCCTGAAGATTTATGCTGGCGTCATTGGTCCATGGATTCGCTTTCACTCTGTGTCGCTGCGATTTCAGTCTGGAGGAGTTGTAATTATGATTGTTTTGCTCCTCGGCGTTGTTAGCCAGCGTGCCTCGATGTTCCTTCGGAAGCTTCCTGGAAGAGTCAGAGTACGGAGGGCGTCTTCGATTCTTTTGCACTCTTCTTGGCCGCTCGATGTACTCGGAATAATCCGAGCTCTCGTCCGATAAATTCCTCGAATCTTCTGTGCGATGATAACTGCGCTGTCTATTATCGTTGTAAGGGTCGTAGTGATTCGACGTCTCCGACGAACTGGAGGACTCTAAATTCCTCGAAGTTTTATAATCGTTGTCGCTATTGTGCAACTGGTTGTTAAACTCCATCTTGTAGGTGCTCGGCTCGGCGACCACAACCGGCTTGGAGAATTTTTGGCGTGGCTTCGATGATTCCGCTACATTGTCATAAGTTCCGCCTGAGGGATTGCTGTGCGTGAGTTCGTTGACCTCGTAATTCGTCCTTGATGAGGACGGGAACGCCGCTACATTATGTCTGACAGCGCTCTGCCCGTGACCGTTGTAGTTCGCGGCATTCTGCTGGTGATAATTGCCGGAGACTTTCTCCGCTTCGTAAGTAAGTTTCTTCATGTCTTGCGTGTCACTGTATGAGTGGTACTGATTATACGGATCTTTATTTTTAGTTTTCTGTGGCTGCCTATAATTGTGCACGTAGCTTTCGATTCTTTTCCCCCTTTCTCCGTTTGCAAGCCCCGAAGAAGTCTCGTCCGGCTGGCTGTCGATTTCGGTGTTCACCGTGCTGCGCAGGTTCTCATAAAAGTCCTGGTAATTGGCCACCGCGGGAGTGTCGTTGTTGACCTTTAGCAGCTCAAACTCATTCGGCTTTTCCTGCAAATCGAAAGATCTGCGATTCGTCAGCGATCCAGGAAAATTCAGAAAGATCCTCGCTTCCGAGGAGTACACTAAGTCTTCTTCGAGCTTTTTTGGCTTCGTGGTCGAGCTATCTCGAGCACTTACAGCGTTTGTCGCGTTGCTGTCTTCGGACTGGTCATCCTGCTCTTCGAGATTATCAGTCTGGAGTGACGAAGAGTCTGATTCGTCGTACGACGGAGTGTTCGTGGGTATTATGGGTACAAAACCATTGGAATTTTCATAGTGTACCGTCGCACCTATTGAGGATGGAACACTCGGGAGTTGTTCTTCGAGACTCTTCGAAGACGCATTCGAATATCTCACGGCATGCACCATGTTCTCTGATGCAGTTGCGAGCTGATCGAAAATCTCTTCTCCATTCATGTCGGTGTCCTCCGTGCATCTCGCTTGTGGCCAACTAAGAAACAGCAATACCACCTACGGAGATTAAAAATAACGATTAAAAGCCGCGGGACACATGTAAAATAAAATATAAAAAAGGCATAACTAATTTTTTTCTTTATGTAGAATATATTTTAACTAAGATTACATTTTATTAGAAAAGTAGTTTTTATCAGAAAGACATATGCGACGTTATTTAACTAATATTAGCATGTACTCAACATTAATTAACGATATGTACGACGCAAAATTACCATAAGCATGCGTAAGATTTTACAAATATATCTCCAGAATATCGCAAGTTTTACTAAAGAAGAAAGCGACATATGCATTGCAAAGTTTGGATAAGCGATGCATGATAGTAAATAGTGATAATTGCTGTTTCGTCAAGGAGATGACCTAGAAAAGAAAAGCAGACTAGAAAAGTAAAATGCGAGCGTGTGCGAAATAAGGACTGGATGTGCACGGAAGCAAATCTTCGTAGACTTTCTCACTGACGCACGAGCACTCGAGTCTGTTTGACAGTAATGGGTCCCCATACAAGCGTATCGTTAATTTCACCATTTTGGGGGACAAAAGAGATTTGTGAAGCACAAAATGCAATTGTGTGTATTATGAATGACTGTTTCTTTGTAATATGCAGAAATGCAAGTGCCTAACACAAAAGGCTCCGACCGTTTAGAGAGTGTCGGTGAAAAGTAATTGGAGAGAAAACTTAGCCAATTTGAACTATGTAATTCCTCGTGCCTACCGTTAAAAAAGTCGGTCGAACTTGTCGATTGGAATGAACATCATTAAAGTACACGTTTTTATGTAGTCGGTAGCAATTTTATCGATCGGATTTCTAATCGCACCGGAAGGTAAATTCCGGGATGCACGGTGATTTTTCCGTAATTCGTAATATAATTTCAATATGATTTCGCATGTACTTTATTTTCCTCATAAATAAATAATTAATTTCCTTAATTAAAATATTGATAATCATAATGATGCTGCATAATGTTATGAAAATTATTTATATCAAAATATTTTTGTCAAAATAATCAGTTTCTTAAAAATAATTTTAATAAAATTATTGTTTTTCATATATGTGTGTCAATGTAATATTCTCAGACAAATGATTCAAATTAGTTTTAAGATAATTTAAGATAATATTGAAACTGCGACTTGGATGAAATTTTATCTTATTATAAACTTAAGCAGGCAGAATTTTTTAAACCAAGCTATTAATTGTAAGCTTACACAAACTGTTTCTAGTTAAACTTATTATTGAAATAAATACCATTGTTAAACTGCAGGCAATATTTATGAATTAATAAAATATTCATAATAAGAAAAACACACATGAAATTATTTTACATATATAATTAACTTATTCAGTAGTGATTTAAAATAACTGCGTGATTCATAAAAAAAGCGGCTTTTTATATATATTTAGATTTAAATTTTATATATTAGATTTAGATTACTTCTCTTTATTGTTATTCTCTCTGAAAATTTTTGAAAAATAAAATATAATATATACCTAATTTTTATTAGCATTTGTCTTCAGTACAAAAATACAGTTTAAATAAATAAAAAATAAATTGAATTTATATATAAATTTAATTAAAGTTTATACATAAATTTTAAATTTTACTACGAAATTTTTTCGAGAATATCACTTAAGATATTAAACGACTAAAAATAGATGTTAATATGCTTTCTTCTTTATGTAATATTTGTGTAATGCAATGTTTATGTCTGAAAATATTTGGCACCGTTCTGCATACATGGAGAAAATATATTATTATATGGAAAAAAACATTTGAATTAAACAAATTAAATAAAATATGAATGAAATAAGAAATTCCAGTTGAAGTTATTAGAATTATGTTTATGTTAACTAGAAATATTGTTAACTTGAACGAAATTCTGATAAGTTCAACGGAAATATCTGGCTCATTCATATTTCACCAGAAATTTTTTTAATTCGAATGAACCTTTTTTCTGTGTATTAATTGCAATTCTTATGACATGACATGACATTCGTCTCGCGCCCCGAGTTAATAAATTTACATTAAATTTTTAGTATATATATTTCTTTTCTCAATTTATCCGCACACCAGTCAAAACAGCCATTTGATTTAGCCACCGCATAATAGACGACTGCACTCTTTCACAAAATACACACATACACACACTTCTCAATCCAAATACTTACATAATAAAAAATCATTTTTGCCGAAAATGCGTTGACTTGTTGTCCGAAAATCCGAAAACACAATTAGAAAGAATGTCACACTATACTCCACGTAAACCACTGACTGCGACCATCCGCGCCTCGTATCCTCGCCTCGAATAATCCGAAGGACCCTGCGTGGTGAGCTTCCACGCGAGAACTGAGCCACATAGTAGATACGCGATTTTCTTTATACAGTCTGGTGGCCAAGTGAAAAATATCGTTCTAAATATTATCCTATAGACTACACAGCCGCATGGATACTTTCATTCGTGACACGCGAGCGCGCCCGGGGAAATGTTGTCCAACCGTATCACAGTATGCATCCACACTCGTCATTACTATGGAACTCGAGCAGCGGAATCACCATGTACGGAAGTAGAGATCCGCCACATCTTGCCGCGGCTCATGTCCCATAAAACCCTCATTTCGAGTCAAAATCGCTTGTTTCGTGATCGCGCGAATGCGCGACGGACGCGCGTCGTAAAGCCACGCGGCAATTTTCCATCTCGCGAGATACATCGCCGGACGTTTTCTAGCCAGCAAAACTGAACGCACCCGGGGATGCGCCCAGGGACTGTAGCATAACGTTACCCCGTTTGCGACCGTATCGATTACGAGTCGCGCTTCCGGTGCTTCGCAGCCTCCGCACTCTCCATGTCTCCGATTGCGTCGGAATGTGGCGGATTCGGCTCGCTACTCGACCAGTACTTTTTCCACCGTGGCTTTATGCGCTCTAGAACACACGCATTATGCCTAGTGTGCCTACTCCTCCCGGTCCGCGCCGCAGCGTGGAAACGAAGGTGCACGTCCGTGTGTAACGAACACGAGCCGATCTTTTCCCTGCGTGTAGTTCCTCGGGTGTTCAGTTTAATGCCTTGAGCCTAATTGCCGTGCCGCGCTGGAACGTAGATATCATCGGGACTTCTCGTTGTGAAAACGTGGAATTAACACCGCTGCCATGACTAGAGCGGGTTAAAACATTCCTCTCTTCTTTTTTTCTTTTTTTTTTTCCTCACGTTCCAGCCAGACAATTAACGCTAATTGCTCGGTTCAACGGCACCGGTCACATCGATATATATCTCCAAACACGCGCGCCCACGCGTGCGCATCTTCTTATTAATTCGAGTATTATACTCTGATGCGCGCATAACGCGCGCACATGCACGCATACGTGCACTGGCACTCGCAAGAGAGCGTTTACTCGTTCTCCGTACCGAGTAAAATGCGTAATTGCGCTCGATGATCGCTGATGTGCAACTCGTGAATCGATAACAATTTATGTTAAAACGGAAACTTTTACTTTGCTTATATGTGCATATATATCATAATATTATCGGGAAAAGTTAGTAAGCGCACTCTAGTAGAAAATGCGTTTACCAACTTTTCCTAATAAATTGATGATACGTATGTACGCCATTAAAAACCCGGATAGGAATTTAAAAGAGGGCTTGTAAAGGCCCTAGATAGTTTTTCCCCATTTCTGTCCAGGCGCCATTCAGACAAGCCCGAATAGGCCCTGTATAGAGATGTAAGGTCCGATCTGCAATAAATGGAGTAAGGAGTAGGAGTAGGAGTAAGACGAAATGAAAATAATTTATTCGCTTATTCCCTTACTCCAGCTCCTTACTTCAGCTGTTACTCCATGTGATGTAGACGGGCAAACTTTATTGTAAATCGGGTCTAAGCGAAATTATTTCCATTTCGTCTTACTTCTACTCCTACTCCTTACTCCATCTATTGTAGATCGCTTTTGTAAGTCAGGGCCCAATTTGTAAATCTGACGAGGCCCTATTCTGTCACGCCGATGTAGACCCTATCTGAACACAGATAGCTACGTTCCATCCACTCTAAGTAAATGGCTACGTTCCATTCACTCTAGAAAAAAATATTCTTTTCTGTATGAATATGTACTATTTTTTTCTAATAGAAACTATTCGTAAAGATCACAGCGCTTGCTGATTTTATTTGGAAACTTTAGATTACTTGATTCCAATGCTACACCACATTTAAAAATTCTCACTAACACTGGTGAGAACTCGAACCTGGAACCTGCCTGAGGTACCTCTGGATTATGAATTTGTTGCCTTAGACACTACGCTACTTTTTCAATCGACATAATCGTCTTACATTTTGTCCATATGTGTTGTGATTAACACAGTAATATAATTTTTTTTATAATATAACCTAATAAAATGATATAATTGTAATAAAAATTATATTTTTCGTACTTTTATTGTTAATTTAACTCTTAGCTAATGAGGTGAGGTCTACAAAATCCCGCATTTCCATTTCGTTATTTTTAAATGTTTATAGTAAAATTTTTGTTTGTTGATTGTTATTAAATAAATAAAATTATGAAAGACTATAAACTTTGAGTAATTATAAAGGAGTACAATTAAAAGTAGGAGAAATCCACCTTACCATATATAAGATTTCATTAAATTAATTAAATTTATATATAAATATATAAATCAACACTTATTATAAGCGATTTCTGAAATATTTTAGTCAAAAAGATTTTGATAAAATATTTTACAAATATTTCTAAATTATTTCAATGTTATATTTCAATATAATTTCCAAGTTATCTTTCAGAAAGCTTGCTGTGTGGAATTTTATGTGGACCCGCCTTATTTTGAAGAATGCTGTATTTTTGAGAACCATAGGTTCTTCTAATTATAGGTCCTTGAAAATTATAAGTACTTTGGTTTTACTTCAAACTTATGTGAATTTTACTTCAGTCTAAGACTGTAAACTAAAATTCTATAAGTCTTTAAACTATTTCAAAAATTGAACGAAACCCTGAATTATATAAGTACATGTCTTATTGTGTTGATGTCTACGGACATCCACATCTGTGCTTATTTTTGACCTATTTACGAATTTTCCTTTAGAAATCCTTTTGCTTGGCTATATGTAGGCACAACAGTGGTAGGCCTAGTTAGGAACATCTCCAATAGTGCCTATTCAGGTTCTGTTAAGAAAAGCCTAACGATGACAGGACTTATTAAGGGTATCCCCAACAGCGCCTATTCAGGGCTTGTTTAGGAAATTCTACTCAGAATTTGTAAGCCCTTTCTAGACTCAACGATGCCAAGCCTATTTAAGGACATGCCTATTTAGGCATTTACGGACTTGGAGCATGCCCCGATAAAATCCTACTTGGGAAGTGTAAAGCGTCCTGCGGAGTATTTCTCTTAATCTTTGGTTTGTTTGGACAATAATATTGTAAGATATATTTCTTGAAGGAATGCTGGAATCGAAAATTTTTACCAACAAAATATTGACTTCTTTCTGCAAAGAGTACATTACAAAGTTCGTCATTTCATCTCTTTAAGGTAGTTAATCATAAACTAATTTTTTAAGAATCTTATCTTACTTTTTAAGAAATATTTTTTTAAGAAGAATCTTTTTAAAAAGAAATTTTAACCGATATTAATCGAGACAAACAGGATCGATACGTATGTGCAATTAGAAAAAGGTTGACAATACAAAGATTGAAACTGAGATAATTGAAGTAAAAATTAGTACTATCTACGTATATCACAAGTACGAAAAGTCGACTTCCTACATCATGTTTTCAATTAAGTAGCAACTAATTGCTTTAACCAAAAACAAGAAGACGATAAAAGAGACTTGTGGAAATATTATAAAAAAATTATAATGTTGACTTTTTAATTTTCAAGAAATTGATATGTAAAGTAAACAATTTATGATAATAATTGAAGTATACGACAAATAATTGTAATAATTTTGTAATACTTTATGCATTATATTTCCTTCGGGGCCATTTGATTAAATATTTTATTAGAGATACAATGTTTAAGTAATCTTAAACATTTATAATTAATATATAAATACATAAAAGTGCGGAAAATATGGCAAAATAATGCAACATCACTGTTATTCTTCTAGTAACGTACATTAGTGTGTGTCTATCGGTATGTACGTTATATTTATAAACATGTGCCTAACACAGGTAATTCTAGCCCAAAGTATTAATATGTCAAAACGTCTGTATAGGTTTTTAAACATTATGTTTTGATTGATATTCTCTTGCTAGTATGAAAGCTGTATATCATAAATCATATCTATAAACACTTAACATATATATTAAGATATAACATATAGATATAACATATAGATTAGGAGATTTGTAGAAGTTTTTCGTGTTGTAACTACTACTCAAAATAACTTTCTAGCAATATTGTCGTGAAATAACTACCTTAAAGTGGGACAACACAAGATTATAGAGCTATGAAATCAGAGAAATAAACCAAGACAGAGAAGTTTATATTAGCAGTTCTATATGCAGGCTGATATTTCACTAAAATTTATGTAATTACGTAAAGTTTTTTTGTCTGCACATATAAACGCTATTATCCAACTCTCTGCACCGCATAGTACTTGCAATTAACTTTATTTAGTAAAATATGGCCATACATATCTAAAAGGGTAAAGCTTATTTTTACGATATAATATGATACTTTATAGATTAAAAACTTCATGGAGAAACAATTTTCAATTGTAAATATAATATGCAAAACATAGGATGCGAAACTTTTTAATAGATAAGAAGCACGAGCTATCGAAAGAATTATTTCCCCTCCAAATAATAATTAATTTTATTACATATTTCGGACACAAATAATAGAAACTTAATTTCTATTAAAAGAATCTTCTTTACTGGCATTTTTTATTGCTTACAATATGCAGTATACAAGTTATGATTACCTTAATTCTCGTAGAGGCCTTAAACGCTAAGATTTATAAGGTACCTTTCTGAAGTGTGGAAATTTGGCTAATTTTTAATAGGTACGCGTTCGCGAAGCACAAGTCTGCTTCGGTTACTACTGCTTTATCGAAAACGGTTGGCGTTATTAATCCCAACAGACTCCACAGGTTTTCAGTAAATCAGTAGCGCAGGTACTTATTGTAAACATAATAATACATTGCACAATCCCACATTAAATACTATCTCATATCGCTAATTATTATTGATTGTCGCCTTTCATTTTCTTAACTTGTTTCATGGCACGATGCGTCTCATACGCGAGACCGAAGTGATGATGTGTGCCATATTCAATGTAAATAATAATTATTTAATACTTTGTAGAGTTCGCATATTAGATATAAAAGTGCACAAAAGAAAAGATACTCTTAAAAAATATTCCGGGTATCATTAGTGATATCAGTGCCAGTAGCCAATGTCGTATCGTTACATAGATCTATCGTTCCCACTTAACTTTCATGCTCCTTCGTGTTGTCAATTATTTACTTATACAAATTTGTTATATTAATATGTATGTATTATGCTACAATTTCTTAAAAAAAAAAAAAAAAATATATATATATATATAAAAGTTAAAATAATGAATTTCTCACATTTTTTAGAAATCATCTATTTTTACAATCGCAATATATATGCTAACGTCTACTGATAACGTGATAATAAATTTTTAAAAGAACAATAATCTTTTTTTGCTCTTTCTGAAGCGCGCGAATTAAGTAACAGGACATGAAAGTTAAGATATCTATCCATAGCTTTCTACTTTATACCGATTACGTGCGATTCAGTTTTTGTCCCTGTAATTCGTGAATCTCGGATCCTCCACGATCTGCACGCTCTTCACTTTCGGCCTTGCCGCAGTGCGCTGACCATATTTCCCGCTAGAGAGACTATTCTCGGCATTCAAGTTGCTCGTCTCATAACTCGATCTACCAAGGTAAGATTCCGTTGGATTACCAATCAGATCTTGGCCAGCGTTTTGTGTCAATCGCGCCAGTTCTCGTAGGTGATTTATAGAAAACGAATTTTGATTTTTCGTGAGCTGATCATCGCCAAGATCATAATTAGTGGGCCGCGCTAATTCCTCGATACTGTTGGCATACTGAACGAGGTACTGCTGCAAGAGTGCCTTCAAGTTCACATTCGGTATGGACTTTGGTATAGGAGGTACGCCATCCACTCTTAAGATAATGACGGGTATCAAAGAGTTTCCAGCTTGTACAAAGGTGGGCTGCACGTTGAGGATGGACGCGGGATTCTTGATGTACTGCGAGATTGATGGATTATAGTTCAAAAGATCCGAGTATTGCAAGTTCGAGTAGCCCCCCAAATTCTTTCCGCCAGTGTTGGTCTTCTTAGACAGGTTAGTTGCAGCTGAAAACGCAGTTTTAAATTTTTATCACGCCCGTGATATGACCGAGAGATTGAGATCACATGTCACATTTTAAAAAATTTTGAAATTAAAACTTCTTAGACAACTACTCGAAATTGTTGTGATTGACTGTACAAACATGATAGAAACAACTTTTTCCTATGTTTTTATATTTGCAACAATCCTGCAAACCATATATATTTTTAAGTTGTCTACAAACTCAAGAATATTTCTTGATTAGTATATATATCTTGATTAGTAGTTGCAGGATTTTCATAAAAAAATCTTTATAACCGGCCCTTAAATAGTAGCCGACTTTATTTTGTTCATATGCTCGATTTCAGTCATTTTATTAATGAAACTTGCTTTTATGTTACCCAAAATAATGTAACATACATTTGCAAGTAAATAAGAATAATGTATCATACATTTCATTTTTCTTAATAACACGTCACTTAAGTTTATTCACTCACGATGAACAACGATTATAACACCAACTTTTAAGATGTTCCAAAATATTCCTAAATCAGTTGTCTTTATTTTGTAAGTGTAATATTACTCCAATTTTAATAAAACTTACAGGAGAAAATGCTTATGTTCTAAAGATAAACATTTTTTTTATTTTTTTCTACTACGTGAGTTCCTCTCTCACGATAAATACATAAAAAAGCATATGACTGATTTATCCTTTGGTTATCCTCCTAATTAAATTCAGTTTCTTCGATATATAAGAATCCCAAAATATAAGAAATATATGATTGTAATTTTTCTTAAAGGACTGATATACTACATACATTGATATAAATAAAATATGTACAGGAGAGTAAAAAGATATGATGCACATAATCAGAAATATTTAGTTATAAACAGTATAGTGGTATCAGCCTAAGTATAATTATATTAACAATATTCTAGGCAAAAATAAAAACCGAAAGTTGGTGTTTCAAATATTTATCAATGTTATAAAAATAATAATGTTTGACAGTACGCGCCGAATAAGATATCCCAGTTTTTGTACATCAACGTACGAATTGAATCAACTTTCTATGTCAAACCGACTCTGATTTCCAATTTATTAATATTAATTAGTCTTTCTTATAACTAACTCCACGATTTCGCGCAATTAAAACGAATTAAATGATATGTAAACATAAAGAGTTAATTAATATTAATATTAAAAATTGAGAATCAAGGTCGGTTTGACATGGAAAATTGATTCACCGTGTATTTTTATAGATACTGAAAAACCTATTCAATGCGTGAGTTAACAGTGTCAAACATTATTATTCTCCCAATATTTATAAATATTCACTCCAATATCAGTGTTTGATTTTTATTTTCCTAGAATGTTCTTGATATAGTTGTATATTTCGAGAGCCTGTATATATATAACCATCATAATTTTCTTTACGTGATGGTAATTGATATCTTTGCGTGATGGTGCGTATAATTGATATAACTGAGGTATTACTACTTCACTGAGAGAAATTTCCGATAAAAAATTAATAAACGGATATTTCCAATCAAAATACCAATGAATTTTTATACCCGGTCTGGATATCCGATTAAATTTAATTGAATACTTCCGGTCATAATGGCATTTCATTAGATAAACCAATAAAAAATTATGAACCGATATTTCTCATCGGATGTTTCTTGATCGGATACAAAAATTCATCGATATCTGTGATCGAAAATATCCGTTTGTTAATCAATGTAGTTGATTTGATTTGTGGCAACCAAAAGTTAGTTGGGATGACATTTATTGTGGATTCTGATTGGAGCAATCAGATACTATCACTGATAACTCAGTGATAATTCTATGGTATTAGTTATGTGCAATCACATGAGCAGTTGTTCCGTATTTTGTTATTAATGTAGTTGGTATAATCAGATTTATGAGTCAGCCAACCACACTGTTTTTTCTGTGCATTCGTAATAACTTGTATAACTCATAATACGATGAAACATAAAATACGAATAACTGTATTACCTGTCTGGGCGAAGAAAGTAGTGGATGTCGTGCCAGGAGTACTCTGTGTGGTACGAGAGTCGGTGTACTCTGGATTCGGACTGTTTACCATGTACCTCGAGATAGGACGAGGCACCGTCGATTCATATCGACCCTTCTTCCTATTCATCCTGAAGGAGTTTCTCGGTGGCGAAGGAGTTGTCGAAGTGATCGTATACGCGGGCGACACTCCGCTACCTGCTTTGGCCTGTTGCGCAACAATCTGCTTTTGTCCTAGGAGGTTCTGGTAGCCCAGCCTATACACTTGCTGCTGCGGTAATCTCGATAGAGATTCAGCTGAGATGAAGGGACTCGGCGGCGCGCTACTTTCCGGCGCCATCGGGAATTGCACGGGACCCTGAGAAAGCACGCTGTTCTCCGTGGAGACAGATTCATAAATAGACGATGTTTCCTGAGACTTGGCAGCTTGTAAGGCCGCTAATGACGGGTACTCCGAGTACGTTTCATACGTCATAGGCGGGACGTCGGATACCCTGCCGTCTGGGTACTTCCAGAATATCTTGTTCTCGTACCTAACGCCATTTTCCACCGTGTATCTAGGCAGATTAGGGAACGGACTAGCGCCTTCCGCATAATCAGATACATCCGTGGGTCCAGAAGCAGTTGGTTCCACCGCGTTCAAGCCTGGTCGAGCGTAACTCCGAGGACTCGTCCTCGCCTGAACGTCTACGTTCTTTAGGAAAGTGACGCCCTCGGGATTGGGTGTCGAAGACTCCGCTATACCTTGCGCCGTTCTGGAATATCCCTGCAAGTTTATCGTTTGTTGGCTACCTTGTCCTAAGTATCTCTGAGAGTGCTCTTCAGTTTCGTACATCGTTGGGCTCGGTGTGACATAAGTGTATGCGCTTGGGGTGGAGGCCGTGTAACTCTGCGGGCTCGGAGTAACGTAATTTGTCTCTTCCGTAGGACTGTACACCAAGGATTGTGATGTAGTTGAGGCATATACGCCGTTTCGGTAGTCTTCGTTCGAGTAAGTCTCGCCGGAGGGTCTTATGGTCGAAGAATATCCTTGGTAAGGCTCAGAATTGGATGTTTTCGTCAATTTTGTCCGCAGTCCGAATATCGATTGAGACTTCGCCGCGGGTATATAATATTGAAAGGTATGACTTCGTAGATGGGCCGCTGAATCGATCGGGCTGGCCCTGAAGGACTCTCGCTGCCTGGAGTTCTCGTGCGATTCGGAGATCGGTTTCTGATTCGACTGTACTCTCTCAATGATGGTCCTAGGAAGGAACGGACTGATGGACTCCTCTATGCTTACGGTGGTTCCGGTTTTCCCGGCGGGAAAGTAGTAATTATATTTCCGCGGGGAGTGCAATGAGTTCCGGTCGAAGCCGTAACCAAGACCATTGTTTACTGTACGCTTCGACTTCTCATCGGCAGTCGCGTTATCGTTGGTCGTGTCATTATCGAAATCCAGAAGTATTAACGGAGGTAAGATCGGCAAGCTCCGCTCGGCGTCGGCCAGTTCCTCTTCCGTACTACCGCCACCTGCATCGTCGATAACGGGACGTTCGATAGCGAGGGAGTCGTTCACCTTGATCTCTCTGTTTCCGGCGTTTTCCGCGTAGCAGAGTCCGAGCACCAGTAGGAATGCGGCAATCTGAAAGTCAGGGGCACGTGTAAGAAATCGCGCCGAGACGATGTAACAATGTGTTGGTCATCGATCTCGATGCCCCGTTAACGGCGATCGCACTTTCACTTCCCTTCCCTCTTTGGCGAATGCATATGATCGTTTCGACGTGTGCACGAAGAAATCTGCTTGAATTATTCCGCTTGAATTTGCCCGTAATGAAATATGTCTTGAGAAGCGTATCGGTTGGATTTATGTTATTTACCGATATCCTTTGGACGATAATCCGATGGTATGTGCAGTCAAGAACACAATTGCGACCTTGTAAGGGAATCGTTCGAAGTAAAAGAGAAGGCGAGTTATTCCTGTAGGGTCACAGTCAAGTGTGTCGGTCAGCATCGTTAAAACGAGTTTTATTCGTCGTGCACTTGCGATTTTCACCGCTTTCTTTAAACGCGTCGTACTCCGTAGATGGCAATACGTAACTGAAAATATCGCTCTCCGTTTGAACAGTCAAGGCAAACGACATAAACAGAAAGTGCAAGAGAATTTTCTAACTAATTTTTAAGACTTTATTGTAACTCTAAAACCTTAGAAAGTGATGTGAACACTAAACATAAATAAATTTTATATTATCTAACATATCCTTTTTTTACTTATAATTTCCGGGGAAAATCATCGAGATTTACTAATTTTTTCATCTAGATAGAAATTGCTGAGGAATATAATGCTATTAATATTTTTACAACTCAATGAAATTAAGAAAAGTTTTAATAGAGTGACAAAACATATATTTTAAGAATGATAACTTTTAAAAAGTTAATCTGGATAAATTTTATCCAAGTTTAGGGTCATAAGTTTAATAAAATTTTAATATTTTATATAATTTTAATTCATATAAATTTTTATAAATTTTAATATATTTTCAGAAATATGTATGCAGTATATGTGAAGAGAAGTACACGTGTGTTAAGTTGTAAATATATATTAAATTTGACATTTTTTAAGTGGACTTTGTAAATGAACACGCACGCGCGCGCATACACACACACACATATAAAGAAAGTGCGATAAAAGCGATCTTATCGTAGTTATAAATTACAACGACGTAAATTAAGAAAAGTTTTAATAGAATGACAAAACATATATTTTTAAGAATGATAACTTTTAAAAAGTTAATCTGGATAAATTTTATCCAAGTTTAGGGTCATAAGTTTAATAAAATTTTAATATTTTATATAATTTTAATTCATATAAATTTTTATAAATTTTAATATATTTTCAGAAATATGTATGCAGTATATGTGAAGAGAAGTACACGTGTGTTAAGTTGTAAATATATATTAAATTTGACATTTTTTAAGTGGACTTTGTAAATGAACACGCACGCGCGCGCATACACACACACACATATAAAGAAAGTGCGATAAAAGCGATCTTATTGTAGTTATAAATTACAACGACGTAAATTTAATGTTTACAGTTTCTCTCGCGTTCAATAAAATTCAGATTGATATATCGCGTTATATTTTTGTAAGAATTAGATCAATCAACTTTTTGCTTATATTTCTTTCAAAAAGATATAAAAAAATTTGATATCTCTAATTAAGCGCCAGATCCTATCAAATCATAATTCAGACATTAATAAGATGATGAATATGTAACAGTTGACGCGGATAAAAATATGTGTCGAGAGTAATTGATTGTAATCCGTCGTCAGCATGTGGATTAATCAAAATTAATGGCGTATATATACAGACACAAGTAGCAGCGCGAATCCCGTGTCGCAATTGAAATGTCAAATTTCACGAAGATCTTAAACTGTTACGTTGGCACAAAACCGCTAGTTACCTAATGCGTGAAAAAGTGCGATCGGATCCTCACGATTACGAATTGGGAGATGCGTGGCTCATCCTCGAGGACTTTCACTGACTTACTCAAGAGCATCTGCCGCGACTACTTTATCTTCGTGGTAAGTGAAAAATCCGAAACACTTTCACCGCAATTACGTCCGGTCGAGTCCAGGAAGCGACCGGCAGTGAAAAAAAAATATTTTTTTTGGAGCGGCAACGAAAAGCTGCGTTGCACACGTGTACGCGTGACATGTTACTGGGAATTTGCGTTACAATTTTTCCCGGGGATTTTCAGTATGAAGACTTCAATCGGTGAGATTATTAGATTTACGTGGAACAGCTGCAACGGAAGTGCCGCGCAATCAATTCTGCCAATAATATGTTATTAATATTAAAGTCAATACACAGCCGTTAGATTTCTAGTTACCCAAATTATAGCTATAAAAGTTATTTATGATGACTTTTATGTTTTTACTCTCTCGATATTAGGGATTCGTCATTATAATCATAAAATATTTTAGACGTTGTTAGTAAAAAGTGTGTTTGTATCAGTTAATACAAAAACTATTATCCCTGTCAATTATGTTTGTCAACAATTTTCATAGAAGCATAGGACACGAGTAAACGATGTAATTATAAAGAAGAAACGCTGAAAAGTGTAATACATTATGTATTATATTCTGCATATCAGGTCCGTCACAACAAAATTTAAGAAAATGGAATAAATTTAAAAAAACAAGCAATACATTAATAACAATATTTGATAAAAATATTAATAAACTCTAACATAAAGATTTTTCATGTTTCGCTAAATTTTCCAAACATAATTTCTGACAGCTCAGAATACATAATCGAAATGTAATACATTATAAACTAAAAATTAAGTACATTATTAGTTAATGAGACACGGGAAGTGGATTCGGAGGAAAGAGGAGATCGCACAAGACACCAAATATATAGAAATAATCACAAAGTAATATTAATTCGATTACTTACATGCATCCTAGTAAGACTCATGACGGCCGACCTTAAACCTGCTGGCTTGGCGGACTTGTCGTGTATGTTTGGTACTGATGAAGCTGAGGCCAGAACATCCCACCTTATATGCCCTCGCTTCTGGTGTGAGAAGGACACCATCATTATAGTTTCACCACTGCGAGACGAACGCTATTCGCGTTCGATACGGGAAGACACCTGCCAGTAGCGTAGCGCTGTTTGACAGGTCGACTCTTGATCGCACGAGCTTTCTTGCATTACGCAAATGAACATGTAAGTATGTTTCACGCTATAATTCGAGCTGAACGTTAATTTCATATCTATATACACGTTCTAATCATCATGAATAATAAGATTGTTGTTATGTGTAATTAAAATTTTGATGAAATATTACTGGGTACTATCTAGCAACTTCCTCAAGAATGTGTTACATTTTACACGACATATTAGCATAAACTTGAAAGTATAATATGCAAAAGTACATAAATATTCCGTTTCAGCTGAAAATATCATGGAGCTTCTACACTATATTTTAACAAATTATACAGTTTTTGCAAAAGAGCATCTCGTGTATAATGTGGCTAATGACAAAGTTTCGGAGCAGCAATCAGAATTTCAAATGATCAATTCCGCCTTCCTACACCGTTGGGCTCATCACCGTAGCATCAGCTTTCTCGTGTGGACTCTTCGTTGATATAGCGCGCTCGCATTAGTACATAACTTACATGCGTATGCTTCTTGACATTAGGCGCACACATACACTATATACGTCTCATAGTGCCCAGCTTCCTGATGTCAACGATTCAGTCCCAATATAAGTCGTAAATTATGTCACTACTAATCAGAGATTTTAAATGAGTTTATGAAACGCTTAATCGCTGATAAGTAATTTCGTCATTTCTACGTACGCAACGCTGCTATTGGCAAAAATTTCAAAGCTATTCAAACTGCAACATCTACGCTTAGTGTATCTTAATGGATAATATATCATCCGTTTCGTAACATTAAGAAAGATGTAAGAGCACGACATCGTCGTTCACCGGCTACAATCTATGAAAAGATAAATGTTTTAGATCTCTCTATCGTACTATTCAGTCTCTCAACTTGATCGGATTAATCGACGCTTTTGCAATCTTAGTACAAGTGATGAAGCTCTCAATGAATTAGATATAGATACAGCTTGAATGGATTAGAATCATCGGTACAATTTATAGAAAAAGTTCTCTTTAAAATTTTGTAATAATGTTAGAAAATACCTCGGTTTTTGCTGAAATAAATAATTTGTCGCAGAGAATGTGAAAATATAAAAAAGATTCATATATAAAAAAATATATACAAGAGTTAAATATAATGAAAAAATATTCTTTTTTTCAGAGAGAGAGAGAGAGAGAAGAACAGAAAAGAAAAAATGGGAGAACCTCCATCCTTTTTTTTCTACAGGATATATTGAAGCATTTTCTTTCAATGTGTTATTACTCTATGTGTGAAAGAACTATAGTGCCAAATGAAATATTTAAGTTATATTTATGCAATTCAATAGAATCTTCAATTAAGAAATCTATAATTATATTTTATTTATGATAAAATTATTCTGATATTGTTAGATAAAAAATAAGTGGAAAAATATATAAAATAACAAATATAAAAATATAATGATATATTAAAAAAGTAATACGTTCATATTATATAATTTTAAAATATTCTTCCTCTCCAAAATCGATTTTTATATTTCAACGTGCGATTCTTTTTGCCAAGATGTACTAGTTAAAAGTTATGAATTTAAAAAGTATAGAAGAACAGAATATACAGGTCTGTGGAAAAAAATAAAGGATAAACGTTATTTGATAATTATTGGTGGTTTTTATATAATTTTGTACGCTAAATACGAATCTGTCCGTAAAATGTGCCTAGCACGTTAGGATTTCGAGATATTCTAACCTAAAGATGCTAAGATGACCGTTTCTTGTCATTTTATTCCATTTAAAATTTCGAATTTTATATTTTTCGGTTTACAACTCATAATTTGCAACCTAAAAACTTTACACACAAAATTCAAGGAAATAAATACGATATAGCGTTCAATATTGGAAAGGATCAATATGCTGTTCAGGAACATGGATTTTGTTAACACACATTCATTTTAATGTTATATGTAGTTGACTATGCTGAAGACCAACTATATACATTTCTGTAGGTTTTTTCATATAGAATTCAAATCTGTTGGCTAAATGTACGAATAGTTAAACGTTTTTATAGTTTTTCTAGCCTTAAAATGACAAAAAACGTCCATTTTAGCACTTTTAAGTTAGAATATCTCAGAATCCTGACGTGCTAGGCACATTTTATAGACAGATTCGTATTCAATGCACAAAATTGCATAGGAAAACACTATTATTTTTCAAAAGATCAAATCTCGCAAACCTGTGTTATATTATTAATCCTTCGGAGCTATACATTTTATTCCCTAGAATTTTTTTCAAATTTAAGGGAGGCATATAAGGGCTTTCAGAGTCCTTAATAACGAATTTGAAATCAGAAAGTCAAAATTCTAAATGTTAATTCCAATATTGCGACTATAAATTTTTTAAATTAATAATCTTGCTTTTAGCATTATCTGAAAATAACGACAACATTTCTTTGATGTGAAGAGAAAATACATTTGCGATACAGTCAAAAACATTTTGCAGAAAAAATATTACTAATATTTCAATAATTTATTATAAAAAATAAAACTTACAGAACATTAAAAAAGAAAAGTAAAATAGTGTTAATTATTTTAAATAAACTGATCATGTTTTAATGTCGATTCGTAATAGTCAGTCTTAAATTGATTGTTTTTAATGTGCCCTTTTCACTTATTTGTTTATAATTAATAATTAAGTGTTAAAATTATTTTATAGTTATTTTTAGTTATCTATGTTTATAAAAATATATAGTAATAATATAAAAAATCGACTATCTCTGTCGATAAAAAATTAGTTAGAAATAAAGAATAAAGATAAAAAACCAAAAATAAAGAAAAAATAGTTGAAATACTAATATCTCCTCGCCCCCTCCCTATAATATTTAAAGAGTTAATAGAACTATTGATACATTTTTATCAGTTTTTTTACACAGAGGTTATAAAAAAAGGAACTACTAGTTATACTTTTATTTAAAGTTTTATTGTAAAATCGTAAACAAGTACGCCACTTATTGGACGCGTCTCTAGAAACGTAAAAGAGAACAGTATAGAATTTCCATAATCTTCGATGAAAGACTAGATGCGACGATGTCGCCGGTCTCGAAATTCGGACAGCGCATCTTCGATATTGTCCACGTATGCCTCGGTTGTCGTAATCGCTAGTAATTCAATTCTCGTGTACTGTACTGACCCTTGTGTATGACATTCGTCAATCGTCACGCCGCTTGCGGCGGTCTTAGTTACTCGGATTTGCGCTTCTTGAGCGCAAAATTCACTTTCGACGGGAGAAAACCCCCCTCCAATTTGATCGGCCTTTCTCTGTACCTGCAATAATAGTTATGGCAGGTAAGTATAGTACTGAGACGTCTTTAAATACGCCTCGTCGCTCTACTCATTACTATACCTGGCACTATCCTGGGACGCGATGATTTTGCTCGGAATATACGTATCAAGAAGTGACTTGGGTTCCGAGGGCAAGGAATCTTTCACTTGTAAGGATTCCTCATTTTCATAGGGAACGGGCTCCAGTTGCGTAATACCGGATTTGAAATCCTGTGGTGGCAACTGTGGCGGTACGAAGTGAGTTTTGGGCTCATCGGGCACCTATTTAGAACAAATGTTGTATTCTAATTTTTGTGTCGTATTAACCTTAAATATAAAAAAATTAAATTCTAAATATAGGTAAATTTTACCCAAAATATTTTTATTTGCTCATTTTTATTCACTTCCAAAAAAATAATCGAAAATCAATATCTTTTTTAATCAGTGTAAGGAGCATCGGAAAATATGAATCGATTAATATTTTTGCGATTCAGTACAATTGAAAAAAGTTATAATAAAAAAAAATATATATGTGTATGTGTGTGTGTGTGTGTAAATGAAAGAAAGAAAGAGAGAAAGAAAAAGAAAGAAAGTCATAAGATATCATAAATGCATTTAACGTAATTTGATACAATTTCTGTATGATGTTTTAAACTTTCTACACTTTAAGACGTAATATATATGTTCTAAAGAAATGGATAATACAGAGAGCTATTAAAAGAAGAGTGCATAATCTTTATCTCATCACTTTTAAACTGAGTTAAGAAGATTATTTCTTTTTTAATTAATTTTAATTCGAGATATGTTTAATTATTTTATAAGAATCAGTGTACCATTATTCGCAAATAAAAACGAAACATTGCGTGTGAAAAATACATGCCATTCACGGCGTACGATATCGTGCAGTGAAGGAGCTAATTAAACTGTGTTAATTAGTCCGCTAACGATGTCGCACGTAATTATAATCCCGTGGACTAAAGCGTGAGTTATGTAAAACTATTATTTCCACTACAACTCGATGTTCCTAATAAATGCAACGTGATCACGTCAATTATAGGTCATGCTGCTAAAACGAAATGTCGACTGTGTAAAAATTTGTTCTTATCTAATTTATTTTTCTTATCTAATTTATTATCTAATTTATTTATTACCGCTGGAGTGAAATGTCGATTATGGAAAAATTCCCTCTGATCTAATTTACTTCGTTCAATGTCTATCTATCGTACAAACCTTGATATAGTCCTGTGGAAGTTCTTGTGGAAGTTCTTGGCTGACTTGTTCCTGCAGTACCTCTTTCGGCGCTTCATGTCCGATCGTCGGTGTAATGTACACTTGTTGCTGAGTTTGATATTGATTTACTTGACCACGAAGAGAATTTTCCTGAATGTACGCTGGTATGCGAGCGTAGAGATCACTGTAAGCGGCGGCGGGATCGCTATAAATTGCGCCGGGCTGCGTGTAAATTAATTGCTGCACGTATTGCGGCTGCGGGGGCGCGACGTAAGCTTGCGTGTACAACAATTTTTTTCCCTGAGCTAGCGGCTGCTGTGGTTGAACGTACAAGGGTAACACCGGCAAGGGAGACGAATTTAACTTTTTCGATGTGACTGGAAGTGTATAAGCCGATCCTTTCGTCACCTGAGACATTTATGATTATGTTATAAATAAGTTGTTCATATTAATATAGATATTTATGTAATAAGTATTATAGTTATTTGTTATTTGTATAAAGACAGAGTAAGAATTAGGAAAACTGCGCTTTCATTAGAAACACAGATTTACCTTGGACGTAAACGTTGCTGGTACGACCGTAGGATATGGATAGGGATAAGGCGTTTTGACAGGAGAAACCAATGGCTTCTGATTGTATACGGGGGTGTACACGGGGAAGGGAATTTGTGAAACCCCATTGTTCGGTAACTGATGTAACGAAGGTTGAATCGGTCCGGCACCTTTCGTACCCAAAACGGAATTAATATTTACATAAGGATAGTAAGAAAGTAGTTGTGTCGCTGGAATGTCGAGATAAACAGGTCCTGCAAACGAGAAAGTGGATTTAATATTCACGTCCGTATTTTCAATAATTAGCATAATTATATCAACATTCCACTTTCTTTAGAAAATTAAAGAGTTCTTAAGATTAACAGAAATTTCTCTCTGAATGTTAAATAATACATTAAATAATGTTTTTCAATTTCTCTTTCTTTATAGAATAATTTCATTATTTCGGAAATAAAAGTATTTATAACGTCATTTATCACAAAAAAAAAATAATATAACGAGAGTTGTAAGTTAAAATTGATAATAATTCGATAATTTTTTCTTATTATATTACCTTTGTTAACGGGTTTTATATACTTTTCCGTGACTGCTTTTTGTTGAACACTCTGGATGTGATTGCCTACTACTACTTCCGGTTGATAATTCAATTTTTGAGATTCAAAGGCGTTTGGTAAAACGTTTTTCGTCGGTACTTCCACTTGCTGTTGATATCCGTTATAATATTGTATTGGAGGAATATTTTGCGGCAGAATTTGGTTTTGCTGCTGATATTGTGCTTCGTGTACAGCGTATTGATTGGGTTGAATGTATTGTTCAGATGGCACCTGCTAACGACGACAAAACAAGGAATTATTAAACCCAGATAGTATAAAGCGTTTCAAAATCATTCTGTATGAGTTCAAAATCCTGGAGAATGCTCTACGATATCCTAAGTAAAATAAAATAATTCCAGAACGTCCTGTACTATTTGAGAAACTATTCAATATAAATTATGTGATCAGATGTAATATGAAATATAATATATACATACATACATATATACATATATATATATATATATATATATATATATATATATATATATATATATAACGATTTATAAGTAACAAATATACTAAATATATTAAATAAGCAGATAAAAATAAATACATATATACATATGTGTAATTAATATATATACACTGTATATACATTAAAATATCAAAGAAATAAAAAACATTTATTCGGCGGATAATAAAAACATATTTGCTTATACTAATAGAAAATATTTTTTAAATAAGAAGATATACACTTTATTAAAACTTTAGTTTTTCTTGCGAATAATACTTTATCCTATATATTTATGTGAAAGAATTTATATTTAAATAACTATGTTATTAATACACATTAAATTAATATTTTTTACTTTTTTTCTTCTTTGAGAGAATATTTCACATTTTATATCCCTGTTAATTGTTTAATGCAAATTTTACAATAATGAGAAAATAAACAGAAATAATTGAAATTTTTACATGTATCAATATGTAATATCTTACATTATATTTTGCATCCTGGAATTGTTGAGAAGAGATGTATGCTCCCCCGTCGGGATGGCCACCGAAAGTATTATATTGGTTCGGTATTTGATACTGCTGCTGATTAACATTAGGTTTAACGGAGTACTTTGTTTCATCAGTCTGGATGTTCTCGGTTTTGGCCTTTCCCTCCGCCCTCAGATTATCCCTCTCTATATCTTCTAAATTAATTTTCTTCTCGGCACAAGCAGCCGTTACCAGCAAACCCAATATTAAATAGACATTCTGTAATCGACACAGAAAGTTCAAATTGCCATCAATCATGACATTACACCCTTCTCTCTTCCTTTTATTAATTAAACCTCCTCCTATTTTTTTCATTTAACTGCGCATGAACTGATAATGCATAATTTTATAACTGCAGAATTGTACAAATAATATCGTTATTTGATATATTAAAAGAAGAAGATAATTATTTTCTCGATACATGCATATATAAGCAAAGGAAATATACCATTCTATCAAAAAGTTTAAATATAAATATAAAAAGCTTCAATAGTTCGATAAAAATTGTGAAATTATTGATTGCATAGAAAGTTTTTTTTTATCATTTATATATGCAGTTATGAAAGAAATGTATTAGTAAATTATCAATCTACATGCATAAAAATATAATACAATCGCAATATTAATACTGATAAAATCGTGAAAATATATTTATGCTTTTATTTATATTTGTGAATAATCATATATCACATATATGCATGTTTTCTTTCACTTTAATTGTTGTTGCTCTGCTTTATTATAAAAAAGTTTTTTTAACTATTTTTCATAAAAAAATTTCATTTATTATAAAAAATATAATTATTTATAATAGTATATTATTATAGGATGAATATTTATATGTATATAAATAGAAATAATATATAACGAAAAATGAAATATAAAGGTTTGAATACAATGTGCAATAACAATCGCTTATATTCGTACGCGGGACAATCGACAATCCCAAATTATTAATAATTTATTAATTACGTTATACGTTCACCATTGTTATTTCCGGTAAAAATATATTTACACCGGGTACACTTTCACTGCACGCGAAGTTCTGGGTCAAACATCCGGCATGGACCACTCTTATATAGACTGCGATCGTTCCGTCTCGGATGGGGCGAGCCACTCCCTCAAACAAGTGTATCACCGCACGCACACGGGGTCTTTCTCTTTCTTTTTTTATTGCTCTTTAATGAATTTTCACTCAGATTTTACAACATGCCACGTGTCACGAAAGAGTCACGCACAAACGCGGAAGGATTGTAAGTTGGCACAATTTTTTACAAGCTACTGAACAAAAATATCTGCTTTATTTTTCAAGAAAAATCAGCTCACACAATATTTTTGTAAGAATTTCGTGAATTTATTATAATCTTCTAAATTTTTTTATAATATTAATTATATATATATATATATATATAT